TAATTTATTGTAGAGATGAGGTCTTACTGCCCAGGCGGGTCTCGAACCCGCCGGCTCAGGCAATCTGCTCACCTCAACCTCCCAAAGGCACGCGATTACAGGCTGAGCCACCGAGCCCGGCTATGCAGTCCTTTTTTTAATGGTTATTTGTACCAGAAAAATTTCCTGACAAACAAAAAGTAAACAATACCATAAGCTACCCTATATGTATTACCCAGCTTCAACAACCATCAAAATTTATCATTATTGTTTTGTCCATTTTTCTTCCCTCTGTCTTTCCATTTTTTTCCTAAAGTATTGTTTGGTACTTCTTAAACATGTTTTCAATCCAGAACATTTCTCAATTTCTTCTAGAAACAAAAAACAAAAATGATCAGGACTTTATGTTTTAACATAACAGCAATGCTATTATTCCACTAATAAAAACTTCAACAATTTCTTGTTAAAATGTAATCCTGAGTTCTATTAATATTTCTGAGGCGGGCTCAGTGGCTCAGACTGTAATCCCAGCACTTTGGGAGGCTGAAGCAACTGGATTGCCTGATCCTGCGGGTTCCAGACCAACACCGGCAACTTGGCAAGACCTCGTCTCTACAATAAATAAAAAATTAGCTGGACATGGTAGCACGCCTGTAGTTTTGGCTACTTGAAGGCTGAGGTGGAAGGATCACAGGAGCCCAGCAGTTAGACGCTTGGGTGGCCCTGAGCGTGCCACTGCACTCCAGTCTAGGCGACAGAGTGAGACTTCAACTCAAAATAAATAAATAAATATATATATATATATATATAACTCCAAAATGTCTCAAACAGTCTTTAACAGTTGATCTGTTTGAATTAGGATCCAAGTAAGGTTCACTTACTTTATTTTGTTATGTTTCTAATCACATTTAATTTAGAACTGTTGTTTCTTACTATTTATATATTCATTATTATTATTATTTTTGCTACTGACTTGTTGAAAACTTCTGTCAGTTATTTTATAAAATGTTCCACATCCTGGATTGTATGATTTGCTCTTTGTGGCATCTTTTATTTTCTTTTATCCCCCCTCTCATTTTAAAGATCTATGTATATTTCAAAATATTTGTAAGAAGATTTAAAGATTGGTAAAGAAGATTTTGATGGCATATATGATGTATTTATGTTTGTGTGTATGTCTATGTGTGCCTATGTCTGTTTATGATAAACAGCCTATGTGTCAAGGTGTTCCTGATTTGCAGGCATTCACCCCATATGTCATTTCGCACATGTCATCTTGGCAGTGCACAATCCCCCTCCGTGGTGTGCAAACACATGTGACATCAAAGGTAATTTGAATATTTTTGTGAAATATAAATTCCAGATCTTTTGTAGAATCCTTGTTTTAATATACTGTAAGTATTTTTTTGTTTGTTTCAGGTGTCTGTGGGTTGAAAATTTGAATTGGTGAAAAAAGGATTGGAACAGAAAAACAAAGAATTGATTTGCTCTGCTTGTCAGAATATACTTTCTTCCAGTTTTATTTTATATTTGCTCTGCTGTGTTCTTACTAACTTTTCTGTTTCGATATCTGATCCTGCAATTGCAGGCTAAAGGCAAAGGGATGGTTTCATCATTCATTCTTAGCTGAAATAAAGCATATTCATTAGTCTTCAGGGTTTGCCACTCAAAATGTGCATTATTTACATGTAAATATGGAATTAAATTTTTTGAAAATAAAAATATTTCTGTTTAAATTTAATACTAATATGTTTGGTTTTCTAACTTACACCTCTTGATTTACCAATCTCTCTCTCATGGTGAACCTGCACAGCATCACTAAAACACAGCCCTGTTCATGTTGTAATTATTACCCCAAGTTTCCAAGGCTCTCTGTTTTTCTATTGAGTACACAGAAAACACTTTCTACCCAGAGAGTTAAACAATCAATATGCTGACTGAAACTTGCCTTTTGAGGCACATTTCTCCCTTATATTGTCTTGAACTTAGTCATACTACATGTCTGTTTCCGAAATGCTGGTCATACTTTTTTTTTTATTTATTTTAAACTACTGTTTTTTTGCACAAATTTCTCTTTTTCTTTGTAATCAATTTAGGAAGACTTTTATAACTGTTTTAAAGATGAATTAATTTAATTAATATTTTGTGAATCTCCCAGCTTTTTAACCATTTCTTCTGTTTCATTATCATCTGTTTTAAAAACCCTTATTTTGCTGTGTATAATAGTTAACAACATAGCTGACATTTCTTTGTGGAATGAGATCATCACATTCATTTTTCATTTATGTTAAATGAATCTGCAACCATCTAAGAGTCTGAGAGTATTTTTAAAATACCTCAAAGTTTAGAGAGACAGACATTATTGATATTTGCTCAAGAACGCCTGCACTCAAATGACTGAGCTTTTAGAAAAAACTTAGTTTTGTTTCTTATGCATGCTTTTTAAAAAACATTATTTACATATCGAAAGATGAATGTGATAAGAATATGTTATATATTGTTGTCATTGAATTTTAGATATGATCCCAAAACAGACACTTGGACCATGGTGGCTCCTTTGAGTATGCCCAGAGATGCAGTTGGAGTCTGTCTTCTTGGTGACAGACTATATGCTGTTGGTGGCTATGATGGGCAGACATACCTCAACACTATGGAATCCTATGATCCTCAAACAAATGAGTGGACACAGGTAAGCCTGTCACAGCATAATTTACTTCAAGTTTACAAATTTATTGCATTTGTTTCCTTTGAAGGAAAGATATCAAATAGTAATCTATCTAGTCAAATTACGCTGAGCCAAAAGTGATTTAGTCCAATTTTGCATTAATTTTGTAAAAATGTTGTCATATTTTTTTGCATATCTTTCCTCATATTAAAAAGTAATATTCATGTTTTAATGAGATTTGCATTTTATTAGAATCCATAACAAGAAACAGGTACTGACCTCGAATTACCTGAAGCAAAAAATAAAAGTGTGATATATTGTTTCACAAAACCCTAATATTTGATTTTAGAAATAGCAAAAAGGCTGCAGAAATCAACCTTCTGCCATTCATTTTGTTACTATACTTGTTAGGTTTATTTTTACCTATAGCAGAGAGTATTTTCCACCTGTTGGTGCTAAAATTTCCAAGTTGTAACAAAAAATAAAATTCATCTTTGTTCCAGTTCAATAAAAGAGTAAACAGCAAAGTATTCTGCATGGCCTGTGGCAAGTGCTCGCTCCTTAACAATCATTTTATCTGAGAAAATAGATGAAATGGTTGGTCTATTTTAGGAGAGCCATCATTTCTTGAATATACACTGTAGTGGAAGACTCAGAATCATACTGAAATGAAGTAGCTTCCGTTCTGACCCCATAGCTAGAGGACATGTGTTGGTGTGTGTGTGAGGGAAAGGTGAGGGCCGGGGAACCTAATTATAGTGAAAAACAACCTGTGCTGCACAGCTACTGTGACTTTGTTTATAGTGGAGAGAATGGATGCATTCAGACTTGTGTCCTTACATTCAATTTCTTGCGATTTTTTTTGTTTCCTTTCCAAATCTCTCACTATTTCTATTATTTCTCTATTTTACCAAAAGTCTAAAAGTAGAATACTGTTCAAATAAATAATCATTTCCATCGATGAGTGTAGTAACATTCTATAAAGCCTCATTTAGTTGAAGCAGGATAATAACCTTAGCTTCTCAAAGGCCTCAGTGGGTAGAAGGATCTGATTTAGTCACAGAAATGTATATGAAGAACTTGTACACTGAATATTTTAAAGATAGTTATTTTTAAATAAACAAGATTTTCTTCACTGTGCCAGTTTTGATGGTATGTGTTCAGCAACAATATAGGCTGACTTTAGAGTACAGAATAATATTTCTAATGACCAGGCTAGAATAACTGCCTTATAAATCTTCTCCCCTAAAGGAAATCTCTTGAAGTCAACAAAAATAGATACATTTGGCTTAGTAAAAAATATAGGAGGACTCAAGAAAGAAGGGGCGATATCAGAACAGCCTAAGTCCTATGATTTTCTACATTCCACTTTAATTGCTAGAGAACATACTTTCTTTATCCAAAGGGCAGCAAATATTAAAGAAGCTTCTACAATTACTTTTCACATTACTGCACTAAAATTTTAAAGGATATATTTTGACTTTTTACCTTTCTGAGTTCCTAGTGCTTTTAAAGAAAAGCCTGCATATATTAATGATGGTTGATTTGCTAAGGAAATATACCAGTTCTCTGGTATGTATTTTAAATGTGCCATTTATACAAATGAGCATTAAATAAAGGTAGTGTATGGGTATATAAATGATGTATTATAATATCTTCATTACGTATTTATAATAAAGAGCCATTATGCTTATCATTCCTCTAAAATTGAAATCAAAATAATGTTAGCAGTAATAAGAAGAAAAAGACTCCTAAAGATCATTTTCCCCTAACTGCATTTTATTATACTTATTTGGATCACGTACAGTATTTTACAAACAGCAAAGTGACATTTAAAATGTTTTATAATAACTTTATTTTAGTGTGATAAACATTAATTTTAAAATGTTGGCTGGGCTATGCGACTCAGCCTGTAATCCCAGCACTTTGGGAGGCCGAGGCAAGTGGATAGCCTGAGCCCATGGGTTTGAGACCAGCCTCAACACCTTGGCCAAACCTCATCTCTACAATTAAAAAAAATTAGCCAGGTGAGGTAGTGCATGTTTGTAGTTTCGGCTACTTGGAAGGCTGAGGCCGAAGGCTCTTCTGAGTCCAGCAGGTCAAGGCTGTGAGCATGCCACTGCACTCCAACCTGGGCGACAGAGTGAGACTACAACTCAAGAAAAAAAAAAGAAAAGAAAAAATGTTTAAATTACTTTAGGATTTTGCTTTCATGTCTTTTTATTCTTTACATTTTTAAGACTCTCGAGAGACTTTGAGCAGGTCACACAAAATCCTTCTGAACACTCTCAGGATTCCAGTCTACTAGAAAGAGTTTCCTTATTTTGCTATTTCCTGTCACTTTCAACTCCATGTACTCCATAAGGAGACTAAATTGATTGGTGAGTCCATATATTATTGGCACCCTCAAGTACCCGATTGTTAGAATAAATAAGCAAACTATATTAAAATATCCAAGAATATGGATACTTGTACAATGTCCCAGATTAGAGTTGGAAACAATGGAAGTAGCTAAGAGATCAGTTGACAGATTTATGCCTTAGTTTGTTTTGCAGAAAACACACAGGTGTATATGTGTTTTAAAGAAATGTGACTTTTTTATTTAACAGAATGCTTATTTCTTATATATGATTGAAGAAATAATATATGTGCTTCAAGACATAAAAAGAACTGTATCCCATTTCCATAGCCAGAGTGAAATTACTCTTTTATATGGTCTCTTGGTATGCTGTTATAGTGCTGGTGTGTGCGTCTATCTGCTGGTTATAAGGAATCAAAAACAATGTGTCATTTATGCTCCATCTCCAAAGACTCACATACTTGGTATAGAGTACGAGATATGTGAATATTTCTCGAATAAATTAAGAGTTGTTACAACTGAGCTTTCTCTGCTGTGCATGGATTTAGTTTATTTGCACACAATAAATACACAACAAATCAAGAATGAGTTTTAGGAAAACCAGTAAGATATCAACAGCCACAGTTACTTTTATTTAATTGGTTCTTTGGCCAATTTTTTTAAGTTATCATCATATCTGTCAGGCCGAAAGCTACAACCCCTGGAAGGAGAGCAAGAACGTATTTTAAAATACGTATATATATTAAATAAAGTTGGACCATGAGGAAAAAGGAGAAAATTTATCTTAAAAATTTAAAATGTATTTATGGGCTGGATGAGGTGGCTTATGCCTATAATCGTAGCACTTTGGGAGGCTGGGTTTTGAGGATTTCTTGAGTCCAGAAGTTCGAGACCAATCTGGACAACCTAGTGAAACCTCATCTCTACAAAAAATAAAAACATTAGCCGGGTGTGTTGGTGCATGCCTGTAGTCCCAGCTACTTGGGAGGCTGTGTCAAGAGGATCAATTTCGCTAGAAGCTCCTGAGATGAGCCATGATCATACCACTGCACTCTGACCTGAACAACAGAGTGAAACCTCAACTCAAAAAATAAATAAATAAATAAATAATAAAATATAAAAAATTAAATTTACTTGTGTAGAAAATTCTAAATGATTAGAATTGCATCATGAGTTCATTGATAAGGGAAATCAGCATTATGACAGAACCCAAGTGCATTGGGCAAAGAAATCTTCCTACAGGAAACAATATGTAGAATGAGACCTGACATATAAATAATCATTAACCAGATGAAAATATGGAGAATCCTTTGGCTTAAAGAACAGCATCTGTAAGAGCTGGATGAAGAACACATGCCTGTTTCACTGAGCAAGAAATAGACTGGTGGATTTGGAGAGACAAAGTGTATATTATATAAGATCAGGAACCATGTTAAAGAGTCTTGATTTTAAAACTGGAGGGGAGTTAATGAAACATCTTAAGCAAGTAACCTGAATAGTAGGAATTGAATTTTAAAACAATTGTGCTCGATAGAATGTGAAAAATGATTTGGAGAAAGCAAGATTGGTGTAAGAGAAATTTGTAAGGAAGACATTTTACCAATCCACTTCAGGTAAATTTGTTACCAGAACTAAGTGGAAAGCAAATGAAATGGATAGAATTAAACTGATTGGAAAGATATTTAGAGGACTTGATGATTATTCAGATGTAGAGTTGAGTGAGGTTAAAAAAGAAGAGTCAAAGATTCCATCTTGACCAACTGGGTAGAGAGGGGTGTCATTCACTGATGTAATAAATATGGGGGGGATAGCATTTTTTTTTGCATATACTCACATGCATATAGAGATATAGATGTAGATAAAAATATAAAGTTAAGCTACTCTATTTGTAGTCTAGTGCACAGTACTTCTCTGTATTGAATGAACAACAGGGAGCCTTTGGGAAACTTTTCAAAAATATGGTTACTCAATACTCATCTCATTTCCAGCGAGTGATAGGGTTTGGGCACATACACAGTCACATATTGCCTAACAATGCGGATATGTTCTGAGAAATTTATCCTTAGGCAATTGCAATGCTGTACGTGCACATCACAAGATGTACTTACACAAATCTAGATGATATAGCCTGCTTCACATTGGCTATTTCTCCTAGGATACAAACCTGTATATCATGTTACTGTACTAAATATTGCAGGTGATTGTAAAACAGTGGCAAGTATTTGTGCATTAAACACATCTTAACATGGAAAAGATATACTAAAATTATGGTGTAAAAGATAAGACATAGTAACTTATATAGGTTATTCACCATCAATGGAGCTTACAGGACTGGAAGTTGCTCTGGGTGAATCTGTGAGTCAGTGGTGAATAAATGTGAAGGCCAAGGGCATTACTGTAAACTATAGTAAACGTTATAAACACTTTACATAGTCTATACTAAATCTATTTTAAAATATTTTTCTTTATGCAATAATAAATCAATCTTAGCTTATTGTTATATTGTTACTTTTTAAAGTTTTAAAATTGTTTGACTCTTTTGAATAGTACTCCTTACAACACAAATATATTGCTATACAAAAATATTTATATTCTTAGTCTATGGGTTTTTTCAGTTTTTAAAATAGGAGTACAGTAGGTTTTTTACCAACATCACCACAAACAATGTAATATGTTGTACTATGACATTAAGAAGGCTACATCACAGGAGGATAGGAATTTTTCAGCTTTATCACAGTCTTACAGGACCATTGTGGTATATGCAATCTGTCATTGACTGGATTCTCATTATATGCAGCCCACGACTGAACTTTGTAAAATCTTACATGACTCTGATGTAAAATAACACTTGAAAATCATTAGACAATAAAAGAGAGAAAAGAGAAAGTGAGTGCATTTTGAGGTCAGATAAACTTCAGTCTGTGTACATTGATGTTGGATTTATGTATTATCTTTGGATACTCCCGTCACTTACCTGTCACATGAAGATAACAACACATTATGTGATTATGAAGATGACTGTGGTAATATATAAAAATTATTCTTAACATAAGATATACTACCAATATATCCAAATGTACCTTTTCTACTCTCATTTTAGGCAATAATTCTATGAGTAAGACAAGAGGTGTTACATTATATTAGGTTTTGCAAAATGTATTATATGAAAGAAATAAAAAATGAATACTATATGAACTTTTTAACTTGCAGTGACATGATAAATAACAATGAGTACATTCAAAAAAACTAATAGGAAATGGAGGTAATTTTCATATTAAAAGAATAAGAACATGTCTGTTCTCAATCAGTAAGATAATGTATGTGATTTGAGGTTATTTTGTCCTCAGCTATTTTATTTCTTACATTTCATGCATGTTCCTTTCAGTTTGAAATAATATCCTGTAATTTCTAGTCCACTGAGGTATTCTTAGAAAACTGTAATAGAAATCACTGATATAAAAAAACTCAAATTATTAAAATGTTGACTTGCCTCCAAAGAATAAATTTTCATTACAAACTCTGTAAAAATTATTGTTTTTAGTATATATCTAGCCATTTTCATGTTCAGCATTATTAAAAAAAATCACAATTCTCATTTCAATGATTGTCATCAACTGGAATTTTAAAAATTAAGCCCTATAGAAATTATAATTATGGTTTATTTATGACACAATATTGAAATTATTTCATTATATATCTCTATCTAAAATGAATGAATAACAAATTTAATTTCAATATAATATCTGGGGAAATAACTTCAAAATGATTGCAGTAAGTGCAATAGCTATTTCATCTAACATATAATTCAAAATATCACTATGAAATGTTATCACAAAAGTCTCCATGCAAACTACAAAATAAATCTCTACTGGAAATTTTTCTATAGTAGGTTTATTTCAATAAAAGTTATTAAATATTTTGATATTTTTATTGGTAATTTCCAATATAATTGCAAGTTTTAAATTTTCAAATATAAAAATCACTGTTTTTTAAAATTCTATTTTTGGTACTTCCGTTTTTGTTGTACTACTTGTGGCTAAAATAAGAAAACATAAATATATTCATGTATGATTTTCATGTCTATGATTCTTTAAAATAAAATATAATTTTTGTATGTTTATATGACAGTACAATGTGTCTTAAGTTGTGTTTCATCTTTTTTAACAGATGGCTTCCTTGAATATTGGGAGAGCAGGTGCCTGTGTGGTGGTCATCAAGCAACCTTGACTTATTTTGACTTTATTTGGAGGAATTTTATTTGCTGGTTATTTTTATATTGTATGGCAAGAATGAGTACTTCCTGAGATGAAAACTTCTCATGAACAAGGATTTCTATAGATTTACCTACTGATGTCAAAAGAGGTAGAAGTTCAAACAGATTTGTAGGAAGCAAAAAAACATCCAACTTACAGGAACAATATCTGACCATATGTTAGGTAGTTTAGGAGTGGTTATTGGTAATTTGTTTTGTATCATAGCATACAATAACTAGAGTTACCAAAGGCTTGCTTTTCTTGAGCAGTTAGTTGAAAGAAGAGGTCAATATTGGTAACGTGGATAATTTCATGACCACATCTCTTTCAATTTTTTAGAATCTGTGGCAATATCTAAGAGCCTGTCCAAGCTAGAAGGCAGAATATTGCATCTGACAGAATCTGATTGATTTACTGTTTTTCTAATCAGATGTGGTCATACATGGAAGCAGAATGATGTTTTATTAAAACAAATCTGCTTCTTCCTCGTTTTCCTAAGCTACAAGAACAATTAGAGAAACAGATTCATGCTTGTTTCTTGCATTCAGAAAATAAACTAGCCTGCTAGTCAAAGCTGCATATCTCATCAGAGACGATGGTTGAATTTTATTGCAACCATAATAGCAATCTGAAACTGGCAAACACAAGGGATTGTTTTCATTAGGCTTGCCATGTTGCTTTACTTTTCTAAAACACTGAGCCAAAGATTCAATACAATTATGGGCTTTTGCCTTATGTTGAGTTCAGTGTAAGCATGGAAGCTAGTTATTCTGAATGTTATATATATCCACTGCATGTTGAAGTTCTTTAGAATTTTTTCTTTAAAAAAGCTTAGAATTTCAAGAGAAAACATATGATCAATTAAGTTAGTGTTTATAATTATTGCTAGAAAGAAGGCAAACTTCAGATTCTCATTTTCCACTTTTCAAACTTGTTACATTAATCTATCCATTATTTTAAGTCAAATGTTTGTAATTGTTTAAAGCATAAAATGGAAACATTACACAATGTTCTTAATAAATAGATTCATGTGAATTTTAAATACAATTAATAAATAATCAAAAATTTGCTTTTATCAGTGTATCTTTCTTCAATTGATTTTAACTCAGATATAAGTTAAACATTGACAAGACATATTTCATAGGCAAATTTTATTGGCTGACTTTTCGAAATTAAGAAAGTATATATCTCTATCCAAATATTAACTTCCTCCAAAATATAAAACTATGTTGATACCAAATGCAACTTTAATTATTTTTATTTTATTGTAGTCACTCACTTGGGACAGTTATTATTAGTGTCTAACAAATACATGTTGCATAATAAGAGTGCTGACAATTGTGCAGAAACACAATTTTCTTTTCTTAAAAGGCAAGAAAAAATTTACTTTTGGAGTCAATGAAAAGTCATAGTTTTACTTTTGGGTGGTCAAAAATATTTGAGATCTAACAACCAATGAAAATATTAATAAACAGTTTGTATCAAGGAAATCTAAATTTTTTCAAGATGAATATGTGGTCAAATTTATTAGACACAGTTTATTTCTGAAAAATGATGCTCTTATAGCTATAAAATGAAGTAGCATCACTGATTATTTTAAAACATGGGCATAAAATTTACAATGTTAACTATTTCTGAACTTAGCTATGTCTAAGTATAGAGTTCAGTGGTGTTAAGTATCAGTAGGCATCAAAAAAAATACAGAATATATTTATAAAAAACTGTGTATTTATTCCTACATGTTTAAACTTCAGTCATCTTCAAAGCACTCTTTGATTGACGCAATACACCTATCGAGATGCTTTTTTCACTGCTCAAAACCGGTTTTGAACTTGTCAAAAGCCTTTTGCTGCTTCTGCCATTTTTTGTTTCACCTCTTCCATATGGGTGAAATTTTCCTTTCTGAGTACTTTTTTCATCCAAGGAAACAAACAAAAAAAAGTAGCTCATGGCAAGATTGGGTGAATAGAGAGGATGAGGCATGGGTCAAAAACTACTGAAAAAAGTTTCACTGCCCCACGTTGTTCATGTAAATCACCCATCAAGAAATAAGCAAATGTGTTGAAAGAATCTCCAAAGAAATTCACTGAAGATGAATATATTCTCTCACAAAATCGCTAGCTGGTACACTGATGCAGATTGGTTCCTATAACACTTACCCAGCAGAGGAAGCCTATATTACAAAGGGCCCACCCTCCAAAAAAAATTCCATTTTGTGGGGCCCCTTAGTACACCCAAAATTTAAATTGCTGGGTTATGTGGTAAATCAATTTTTTGGGGGGAGGAAGAAATACTGGTCTTCATAGTGGTTGTACCACTTTGCATTCCCTCCTATCATATACAAGAATTCCAGTTTCTCCACATTCCTGTCAACATCTGTTATTGCATTGTTTCTTTTTTAAAGTGGTTGTCCTAATGGGTATAAAATGATAGATATTGCATGGTGATTTTGATTTATACTTTCCGATCACTAGTAATGTTGAATACTTGTATTTTTTCAAATGCTTTTGGTCATTTGTGTATAATTTATTGAAAAATGTCTTTTCATGCCCTTTGTATATTTTTTAATTGAGTTTTCTAATTTTCTTTCCTGTGTTTGTTGGATTGTAAAAGTTCTTTATATATTCTGGATATTAACCTCTTAGCAGATGTAAGTTTTTGTTGTTGTTGTTGATTTTAAGTTGGAATCTCACTCCGTCGCCCCGAATGGAGTGCAGTGGCAAGCTCCAGCCACCAATGTCTTGACTTGCTGGACTCTGGCGATCCTTCCGCCTAAGCCTTCCAAGTAGCCGGAACTACAGAGCAGATGTGTAAGATGTGCAAACATTTTCTCCCATTCTGTAGGCTGCCTTTTCACTCCGGATTGTGTTATTTGATGCAAGCATTACTGACTTTGAGAGTTAACATCATCGATGCATCTGTTGCTTCTTAGTCTCATTAAACCTTCAAAAATTGTTGCAATATTCTATACTTCAAAAAAAGCAATTAATGAAGAATGAGCAAGTAAGAAATATATTTTATTGCATATATCAAAAACACATTTACTGTTAAATACTTTTGGCAAACAAAATGTTGGCAACAAAAGAGCAAGTCAATGTGAATATTTTTATTTTACATGCTTAGAATAAAATTGTGACAGCAGAAACAGTTTAATAAATGTGTTGAGATATTCAATTGATGTTGAATATATGCTAACAAAAACACCGAAACTCTTGTATTCTACTGCTTCAATTTACTGTTTAAAAAAATACTGGAAGATCTTTTTCATATGCATTAGTATTACTTTGTGTGTTCTAAATGAAGCTTGCACTATCATCATGTACTCTTAATCTCTTATTTTAGAATTTGTGTATTTTAAGACCTATATTTACAAAAGAATGTTTTCCTAATATCAGTGTTATTGTGTAAAAATTAACTTTAACTGTTTTTTCCAGTCATTATTTTGCAAATTTTTAAGCCTATACTCAGATATAATTTTAGAGATGGCTAAATATAAAATTTAATGAATAGAGAAAGTGAATTTTTTATTCATTATTATTCACCAAAAACATGACTAGACAACAAAAGCCCCCCTAAATAAAATTAAAGTATTCCTTTTGAATTAAAATTAAGGTAAAATAATGATAATTTAGTTCTAAACTTAAAATACTGAAAAATATAAAGAAAATAAAAGCTAAAACATTTTACAAAATGGGTAAAGCTAAATAAATGTATTCATTTCGCTGATATCATATAGAGTATTATGTATTCAAAATAGTAATGGCACTATTTATTTAAACATTTAAAAATTATAATCTTAAAATTTCCTTTTTATATTGTCTAATTCTCTAATCATTCAATGTGTAATCAAAATGCCTAGCTAACAGTGATAAAAAATTGTAAAAGTTATAATAATATCAGGCAAAATTGATTGTATTTTATTCTTGATTATAGGTGTAAAACACATCAAACGATTCAAGTTAGCTAGGACAGAATTCACCTTTCCTTTTAGTCTACTACTTTAGAGGATCTTGGATTCTTCCAGTTGGTTCTGATCACCCCTGCTTTCATTCCTGTGCACTCTCCTTCCAGTGTACACTGTTTCTTCTGTCACGTACTTTCTCTGACACACAGAATATAGAGACAATGTTAGCAAACTGTGAACAAATTAAGTGTGAAATTTTAATGAAAAGAGGAAAAGATAAATTAATCTATGTCTCTTTTTTAAAACAGTTAAGTTTTCTAGTGGTGATATTCAGAACTTGTTAATACATTTATTGGCATGTTTACAAATAAGGTTTATTTGCTTTTGTGTTTTGCTCCTGGAGAGAGAATTTTTTCGAAACAAATTTACCACAGTCAACCATTTTCTGTTATAGATTATATTAACCTACTATTGCTTATCTTACCTACAATAACTGTGTGTACCAAATTTACCATATGCAGACTGTGAGGAGCAGTCTGAACAATGAACTCGGAACCCATATGAATAGTTTGTGATGACTTTATTATTATTTATATTTGCTACCCACAAACATATAATTCACTCAAGCATTATAAATATATTTTAGTGTGATTACTCTGGAGACCAATTGGAAATTTTGATATGTGTATTTTAAAAGAATTCAAGGCTAATCATGATTTCAGCGTTGCTTCGTAGTAGCAAATGTTGTTGTCTCCAATAATGTAATGGGTACCCTATATGAAATAGTTTAGTGTTACTGAGTCTCTCTTTTTCCCTGGGAAAAAAATAAACTAACTGAAGTTTGACTGCCAACTATCAACATTATAAATAAATTAATTGCAATATTTAAAGCTAATGTGATGCATCAATGTTGGATTATACTACTTTTTTCTGGTACATTTAGAGGAATTTCATCAAAATTGAGATAATGATATAATTAATCATGACTTTTTAAATTCCTTTCTCTATAATTAATGTATTATACTATTTTTATTAAGAAATGTGAATTTGATGTAGTCAGGTATTCTTGTTAACTTAAAGTTATTGCTTATGCCAAATTAAATTAACATTTCATAAAGAACTAAAGCAAAAAAAAAAATGCATTCTTAGTATCAACGTCACATAATAATACTTTCTTCCATTTTAGCTTGCTCACAGTGCTATTATCTACAATGCCTTATACACAGCTCAAATATTTTTCCAGTGTTTCCTGAGCACTGAAAAGACAATTTCTGTTTTAGGGCACTGTAGATGTGGAATGTAAAAGCTGTTGTCTACTAATCATGGATATAGTGTAAAAGTTAAATATGTGAATGTGCTTTCCCCCTTAATAAATATGTGATTTCAGTGTGAATATTTGTATTTATCATGGGTAGACATAGAAAAAAATTAGTTTTTACTTATTCTAATGATAACATTCTAAATAAAAATATATTTTATTTATATATGCATTATCGTATTTTCAAAAGAACACCATATATGTAAACGTTTAGACATCCCACATCTTCTTCTATCACCCATAGAGTTCAAAGAATTAAATATTGTTTTTTATACAGAAAACACAGTTTCATTATGAAGTGATTATTAATAGATAATGTTTTATCACCCACAAGGGCAATATATTATTTTCTTTTTGTTTTGATTATTTTCAAATGATAATTTGTGATGACTTTATTATTATTTATATTTGCTACCCACAAACATATAATTCACTCAAGCATTATAAATATATTTTAGTGTGATTACTCTGGAGACCAATTGGAAATTTTGATATGTGTATTTTAAAAGAATTCAAGGCTAATCATGATTTCAGCGTTGCTTCTTAGTAGCAAATGTTGTTGTCTCCAATAATTTAATGGGTGCCCTATATGAAATAGTTTAGTGTTACTCAGTCTCTCTTGTATTTTTAAGATCATTGTGAATTATACAAACAATCATATTTTACTTTGATCACTGGAAAAGTTATTTCCAAATTTAGGTTTTATACTATTGACATAGACTAAATTTTTGTTTTGAATTTTCCAAATTCATATATTGAAACTCTAACTGCCAATGAGGCTGCATTTGGAGATGGGGCCTCTACTGAAAAATTATAATCAAATGAGAGCATAACTGAGGGGGTCAAAT